CTTGGGGCAGCCACTTTCAGACATACATCCCCTACTCTGGACTTGGATCTTTGGAAAGGCAGGATAAAAATAGGGGCAACCAACTGGTGAGGAGGTGGGCGAGGCCATACCTGCAGGTTGCAGCATCACTGGAGAGCGTGGGGTGGAAATATAGCTCTTCCCTGGATCTGCCCCCCCCCCCATGTTCCTGAGGTCCCCTCTGGTACCCCCTTAACTTTCTTGCTACTCAAGTAGGCAGAGAGCCCTACAGATCCAATGACCACTCCCAGCAGGGCCACCACGAACCCCATCCACACTTTGCTCCTGGCAGATGTTGAATCCGCAGCTCTGGAGAAAGAGGAGGGGAGACTCACGTGACAGCCAGAACAGAGCCAGGCACAATCTCTTAGCCCTGCTGATTGACAGGAGGTTAAGGGGCCCAAGAGTGGGCATGGGAGGGCACCTTCAATTTTCTCCCCACCTGGGCTTCAGTCCCCAACCCTCCATAATCTCTAACTGCTGATCTTCCCTTCCTATTCTCTTCTGGATTGAAAATTCAGAGTTTGGGGGACACTGAGAGGTCCACACAGCTGAGTGAGTGTTTCCATCCCTCACTGGCAAGGCAATTCCAGACTCAAATACTGTGAGAAGGCAAGTGGGGGACTGGACACATCTCTAGACCAAATGAAAATGGAGAAAGTGGCTAATGAGCCCAGTTGAAGACTCGACCTCCCAAGATGCTGGAAAGTGTGAGCGGGGCTCCTCTGCTACAGGTCAAACACAGGGATGGGAAACATCCTCCCAGTTCCCAGGAGCTCCCCCATGGGGAAAAGGGGAGGAGGGCCTTACTCCATTGCACAGTGATGGGCGTCTCCAGGCTGGCTTGCTGCACCTGGCAGGTGTAGACGTCTCCACGCTGCGGGGTGTCCTCCAGCATCACCTGGGTCTTGTGCGTCCAGTCCCCATTGTGGAGCTCCTCTCCATAGAAGACCACCTCCGTCACATCCTGGCTGTTCTTCAGCCACTGGATCTCGATCTCCCGGAGATAGAAACTGGCCACAGTGCAGAGCAGCAGGGTGCAGGGGGAGAGGGGGTCATCCTTGGTGGGGGAGATGGTGACCACGGGCTGGACTGGGGTGAGGAGGGGGAAGTGTGAGAGACGTGAGGCCATTTTCATCCCTCTAACATAACACTTGAACCCGGAGTCATCCCAAAAAGCTGAAGTGTGGGACGTTGGGACAGATAAAAGGAAGAGTTTCTTCACACACCTTATAGTTCAAGGGCAGAATTTGCTGCCCATCTGAATGGCTTTAAAATAGGATTTGGTAGAC